ATCTCCCTTTAGGTGAACTTTGGTTTGCTTGTTAGTCATTCCTTCATGTAAAGAAAGAGTAGGTTCTATAATTTTGTTTTGATTATTTTTCCAAATAATCAGTTCAGTTGGTCATAAAAGGAAAGGATTTTAGTCTAAAGGATTATATTGTAGGAGTTAACAGTGATTACTAGTGTTGGGTTGATTTTGAATTTTGACTCTACTGTGTATTGGTGTTTTCATCTTGGCCAACTTGCCTAACTTCTTTGTGCCTTCATTTTCTCAACTGTAAATTGGGAATAGTAATAGCATATATACATAGGTGTAATGTGTTTCTGCTTTAACAAGACTTGGCTCACAGTAAGTATGAAGTGTTATTGTTGTAGTTTTCATTATCATCACCACCAGCCTTATCTTTCTTAAATTTGTGATCTGAGTTCATTAATCACTCAATAAACCTATTTAGGCTGAGCATTGTAAATTTTAATGCTTGCAAGGTGAACATTTAGTAAGTAGTGATAGATCGGATTGGGAAGTTAAGTGAACTAGGGAATTCATGCCCCTCCAAGGGAGCAGCTGTTAAAGCAGCTTTGGCTTACGATTTTTTTTTTTTTTTTTTTGAGATAGTGTTTCACTCTTGTTGCCCAGGCTAGAGTGCAGTGGCATGATCTTGGCTAACTGCAACCTCTGCCTCCTGGGTTCAAGTGATTCTTCTGCCTCAGCCTCCTGAGGAGCTTGAATTATAGGCACTCGCCACCACACCTGGCTAATTTTTTGTATTTTTAGTAGAGACAGGGTTTCATCATATTAGCCAGGCTAGTAGAACTCCTGACCTCAGGTAGTCAACCTGCCTTGGCCTTCCAAAGCGCTGGGATTACAGGCATGAGCCACCACTCCCAGCCTTATTTTTCTTTTCTTCTTCTTTTTTTTTAATGGTGGTAAACGTAAGTATGTGAAGTTATGTATATGTTATTTAGCTCAATTTAGCCATTCTACAGTGTGTACATATTTTGAAACATGTTATAGGCTGGGCATGGTGGCTTATGACTGTAATCCCAGCACTTTCAGAGGCTAAGGGAGGAGGATCATTTGAGGAGTTTGAAACCAGCCTGGATAATATAGTGAGACCCTTTCTTTTTTTTTTTTTTTTTTTTTTTTTTGAGACAGAGTGTCTCTCTTATTACCCAGGCTGGAGTGCAATGGCACGATCTTGGCTCACCGCAACCTCCACCTCCTGGGTTCAGGCAATTCTCCTGCCTCAGCCTCCTGAGTAGCTGGGACTACAGGCACGCGCCACCATGCCCAGCTAATTTTTTGTATTTTTAGTAGAGACGGGGTTTCACCACGTTGACCAGGATGGTCTTGATCTCTCGACCTCGTGATCCACCCGCCTCGGCCTCCCAAAGTGCTGGGATTACAGGCTTGAGCCACCGCGCCCGGCCGAGACCCTTTCTTTATTTTATTTCAATAAATAAATAAAACCTGTTTTACATGGTAAATATATACTTGTTTGTTAATTAAAAATAATTTAATATAAAAAAATACTACTTAAGGTCTTAGGAATACACTCACAATGTATTGGTAGTTAAAAAAAAATTTTCAGGCCAGGTGCAGTGGTTCACATTTATAATCCCAGCACTTTGGGAGGGTGAGGCAGTAGAATTGCTTGAGCCTAGGAGTTTGAGACCAGCTTGAGCAACATAGTGAGATCCCATCATTATATTTTTCAAAATTAAAAAGGAAGTTTTCAGAAGGTTAAAAAAATAGAGGCAAAAATCACTATTTTAAGGTGTACAGTTCAGTATTGGCTTGCTTTTGACCTTGGAGAGAGTGCAGACCAAGTGTGGCCTGAACATCTTAATTTTTTTCTAAAGAGAAGCTGGAAATCCAGATTTTGTAATAAATTTTTATTGTTAAATGTTGGCAACTTATGAATTGATAATATAAACACTGTGGGCCAAACAAATTACCACCGTGGGCAGAATTTGTCTTGTGGCTTGCCGCGTTATAGTCTCTGATCTGGGGCTTGACTTTCCAGAGCGTAACCCATGTTCTCTGCTCTCTGGGAAGAAAGTTCTTACCTACATAAAGATTTAACCAGCCTGGGCAACATGGTGATACCCCATCTCTGCAAAAAAGACCCACAAACATTAGCCAGGTGTGATGCTGGTTTGGGCCTGCAGTCCCAGCTGAAGTGGGAGGGTCCCTTAAGTCTGGGATGTTGAGGCTTCAGTGAACTCATGTCACTGCACTGATAACATGTCACTGCACTGATACCATGTCACTGCACTCTAGTCTGGGCAACAGAATGAGACCCTGTCTCAAAAAAAAAAAAAAAAACAATTAAAACAGTTCAGACAATACCTCAAAGCAGTCTAGTGCTGAATGAGAGGTATGCAGAATAATTATTAAGGCAGAGAGACTGAGGGAAGTTATTTAAGGTAAGGATTCAGAATGTGCAAAGGTGCAGAAGCAGAATAGACCTCAGGTGGTAGAGTTTAATTTTAGAGGATTTGTGTGGCCTGATAATAGGCAAAAGTTTTGAAAAGCTGAGAAGAGTCAAGCCTCTTATTTTGGATAACCTTGAGACCTATTGGGTGATAGGATAAAATGATATTTTATGAAGACTTATTTGGCAAAATTGGGATTTGTAGTATTTACTAGGGTTGGAGGCAGGGAGACCAGGCTGTGGAGGTGGCAGTGTGAATGAAAAGAAAGGGCAGAACTTTGTATAAGAACAAAAGCTTGCAGTAGATAAAGAGGGCCAATTTTGAAAGCTTTTACTCTATTGACGTTTGTAAAAGTCAGGCTGTGTTTCTCTTTTCATGTTGTGAGTCTTGCTTTACCCCTTAGTCCCAGTACTGTCCTCAATGGATTACATACATATTTTTTCATGATTTCCCAGTTTGCACAAGTAGAATAGAAAGAAAAACAAGGCCAGGTATGGTGACTCACACTTGTAACTCCAGCACTTTGGGAGGCCGAGGTGGGTGGATCACTTGGGGCCGGTGGATCACTTGGGGCCAGGAGTTTGAGACCAGCCTGGCCAATGTGGTGAACCCCTGTGTCTACTAAAAACATAAAAAATTAGCCCGATGTGTTGGCACACTCTTTTAGTCCCTGCTACTTGGGAGTCTGGGGCATAAGAATCTGTGAAAGCTGGGAGGCGGAGGTTGCAGTGAGCTGAGACCAAGCCACTGTCCTCCAGCCTGGGTGACAGAGCAAGACCCTGTCTCAAAAAGAAAAAACCCCAAAGTAGCTCAACTACTCATCATATTTCTTGTTTGGGGTTTTTGGTAATCTCAGTTAACCTCTGATATATTTCATTAGACCTTAGTTTATACATGGAATCTTTATATTTACCAAGGTTTGGAAACAGTGACAAGTTGTTTGGTCTTAGATGTAGAATTTTTCTGCAGAAACTTGACATAATAACTGATACGGCTGGGTGCGGTAGCTCACGCCTATAATCCCAGCACTTTGGGAGGCTGATGCGGGCAGATCACTTGAGCCCAGGTGTTTGAGATCAGCCTGGGCAACATGGAGAAACCCTGTCCCTACAAAAAAAAAACAAAAATTAGCTGGGCATCGTGGTGTGTGCCTGTAGCCCCAGTTACCCAGGAGGCTAAGGTGGGTGGGAGGATTTTCTGGTCCCAGGAGGTCAAGGCTGCAGTGATTGACCTGTGATTGTACTATAGTACTTCAGCCTAGGCAAAAGAGTGAGACGCTGTCTAAAAAAAAAACTATGATTCAGAAGGTTTGAAGAAATTGAGAAATGTAGAAAGGTGGAATATGTTTGTTCTGTAAAACCTGAGAAAATGATTTTTAGGATGTTATTTTCTAAATAAAGTTTAGATTTTGTTCTGTTTATACTTTCTCATGAAACTTCTTTTTACATACCTGGGAAGTTATTTCTTATTCTTGGTCAAATACAAAATGTCATTATTTTAGAGTCTATAGTCTTTTTAGCAAGTAAGTTGAATAGTATGTTAGCTATAGTCTGAGTATTAAGAATATCTGAGGTATGTGTTAAAAAGATATATAGGTTGGGCGCAGTGCCTCACACCTGTAATCCCAGCACTTTGGGAGGCCAAGGCAGGAGGTGGATCACCTGAGGTCAGGAGTTGGAGAGCAGCCTGGCCAACATGATGAAACTCTGTCTCTACTAAAAATACAAAAAAAAATTAAAATATCTCGATGTGGTGGTGCCATCCCTGTAATCCCAGCCACAGAGGAGGCTAAGGCTGGAGAATCACTTGAACCCAAGAAGTGGAGGTTGCAGTGAGCAGAGATCCAGCCATTGCACTCCATCCAGCCTGGGCGACAAGAGTGAGACTCCATCTTAAAAAAAAAAAAGAGGCCAGGTGCAGTGGCCCACCCCTGTAATCTCAGTACTTTGGGTGGCCAAGGTGGGTGGATCACGAGGTCAAGAGATCAAGATCATCCTGGCCAACATGGTGAAACCCCGTCTCTACTAAAAGAAATAAAAAAATTAACCGGGCATTTGGCATGCGCCCGTAGTCCCAGCTACTCCGGAGGCTGAGGCTTGAACCTGGGAGGCGGAGGTTGCTGTGAGCCGAGACTGCGCCACTGTGCTCCAGCCTGGCGACACAGCAAAACTCCATCTCAAAACAAACAAACAAACGAAAAAAAAAACATGTAAAAAAAAATCTGAGATATAGCAAAGTTCTTCTCATGGATGAATAAGAATACTGAACTGGACCTCTAAAAAAAGTACAGAAAATTCCCTCTGTCACAGAGATGCAGTAGAGTCAAATGAGCTAAATCTAAATCTCATTTAATGAAGAAGGGATTTTTCCTTTATTTTTGAAGTGTGCTCTAACCTAGTTTTTGGAATTCATTTGTTCTGCCATTAAAAGGGATTTTTAGGTGGTTCATTTAATTATAGCTCTGTTTTGGAAATGGGAAGGAAAAGAATGTGAGAGAGATTAACTGCATTGGCTTCTGTGGAAAGTCAGTAGTCAAAAGGAAATTCCGGATATTTATTTATTTGTTTATCTAAAAATATGGAACACTTGGTGAATTTTTACCTTATCCTTGCTCAGAGGATATGCTAATCTCTGTATTGTTCTAATTTTTTAGTATGTATGCTGCTGAAGCAAACACACAGATTTTTGTTTGTTTGTTTGTTATTGGGTTTTTTGGAGGAAAGCTATTTACTATAGGTCTTAATTAAAAACATATTATTCTGTATGTGTTGAAATGTGCAGAACCTTACTGCTGCTGCTTTTCATTATCCAGAAAGTTGCTTACATCTCTCTACTATTATCTTTTCTCCCTTTGTTTTTGCCCTTGGGGGTTGATACTTTTTTATTCCTTTATTTCATTTTATTGTGAGGTTTTGGAAGGGAATGGAGAATGGAGTGTGTTCATTCTTCCTGGCTAGTTGATTTTGATGGCTATATAAATTGATATTTCATCTCTAAGGGCCAAAAAATTTCCTGGCTGTGGAAATTGATGTTTTCATCTCTAAGGGACAAAAAATAATAGAAAAATATCTATGCTAGTTATTTTTCTGTTGTGGTAGAATGCACGTTACATACAATTTACCATTTTAAATATTGTTAAGTTTTCAGTTAAGTGACATTAATTACATTTATCTTGTTATGTGACCATTACCACTATCAGTCTTTAGAACTTTTTCATCATCCAAAACTGAAACTTGTACCTGTTGAACAAAAAGTTTCTATTTCATCTCCCCCTTGCCTTGGTAACTACTATTCTGTTTTCTGTCTCTATGAATTCAACTATTTCTAGGCACCTCATTGTAAAAGTGGAGTCATACAATATTTGTCATTTTGTGTCTGGCATATTTCACTTAACATAATGTGTTCAGGTTTCATTTTATACCATGTGTCAGAATTTTATTCCTTTTTAAGGCTGAATAATATTCCATTGTTTGTATATACTGCATTTTCTTTATCCATCAGTTGATGAACATTTGGCTTATTTCTACCTTTTGGTCATTGTGAATAATGCTGCTGTGAACATTGGTGTACAAATATCTCTTTATGGCTGGGCATGGTGGCTCTCACCTGTAATCTCAGCACTGTGAGAAGCTGAGGTGGGTGGATTGCCTGAGTCCAGGCGTTTGAGACCAGCCTGGGCAACTTGGCAAAACCTGGTCTCTACTAAAAATACAAAAAAAGTAGTCAGACATGGTAGTGTTTGCCTGTAGTCTCAGCTACTCAAGAGGCTGAGGTGGGAAGATTGCTTCATCCTGGGAGGTGGAGGTTGCAGTGAGCCGAGATCACACCACTGCACTCCAGCTTGGGTGATAGACTGAAATTCTGTCTCAAAAGTAAACAAACTTGATGGGCACAGTGGCTCATGCCTGTAATGCCAGCACTTTGGGAGGCTGAGGTGGGCAGATCCCCTGGTGTCAGGAGTTCAAGAACAACCTGGCCAGCATGATGAAGCCCCCATCTCTATCAAAAATACAAAAATTAGCTGGGAGTGGTGGTGAACACCTGTAATACCAGTTACTTGGGAGACGGAGGCAGGAATCGCTTGAACCTGGAAGCAGATGTTACAGTGAGCTGAGATTGCACCATCGTATTCCAGCCTGGGCAACAGAGCGAGACTGTGTCTCAAAAAAGAAAAAAAAAAAAAAAAGTAATCAAACCAAAACCAAATACCTCTTTGTGACCTAGCTTTCACTTCTTTTGTGTAATACCCAGAATCAGAATTGCTGGATCATATGGTAATTCTGTTGTTCTTCTTTTTGGGACAGAGTCTTGCTCTGTTACCCAGGCTGGAGTACAGTGACACAATGATGGCTCACTGCAACCCTGGCCTCTTGGACTTGGGTGATTCCTTCTGTTTCACCTTCTGAGTAGCTGCACCACAGGCACGTGCCACCATGCTTGTTTGTTTGTTTGTTTGTTTTTTGTAGAGACATGGTCTTCCTCTCGACATGTTGCCCAGGCTGTTCTCAAACTATTGGACTCAAGCTACCCTTCCACTCAGCCTCAGCCTCCCAGAGTGCTGGGATTATAGGCATGAGCCATTGCGCCCTGCCAGCAATTGTATTTTTAATTTTTTGTGGAATTACTATAGTGTTTTTCACAAGGACTATATAATTTTACATTCTCACCAACAGTGCACAACGGTTTCAGTTTTTCACATTTATACCAACCTTTATTATTTCCTGTTTTTGTTTTTGGTAATAGTCATAATGGGTATGAAATGGTATCTTATTTTGATTTATAATTCTCTAAAGATAATGATACTGAGCATCTTTTTGTGTGCTTATGGGCCATTTGTATATCTTTGGATAAATGTCAAATCAAGTCCTTTCTACATTTTAAACATTGGGTTATCTGTTTTTTGGTGTCCTGATCATTGTGTAGGTCGCTGCAGTGGGAGTGGAGAAGGAACAAAGAAATCTGTAACTGGTTATGATCAGTTAGTTGTAAACACCGATGCACTTGGACCAGCCAAGGCCTGTAATTCTATTTTTTTTTTTTTTTTTTTGAGACAGAGTTTTGTTCTGTCGCCCAGGCTGGAGTGTAGTGGCGCAGTCTCGGCTCACTGCAACCTCTCCCTCCTGGGTTCAAGCATTTCTTTGCCTCAGCCTCCTGAGTAGCGGGGATTACAGTTAAGTGCCATCATGCCTGGCTAATTTTTGTATTTTTAGTAGAGATGGGGTTTTACCATGTTGGCCAGGCTGGTCTTGAACTCCTCACCTCGTGATCCACCCACCTCAGCCTCCCAAAGTGCTGGGATTACAGGCATGAGCCAGTCAGTGTGCCCAGCTGCCTGTAAATCTTTTTTTTTTCTTTTCTGTTCAGCCTGTAATTCTTAAATAATGTTTAGAAATGATCTGAGAAAGGTTTGCTGGAAGGATGAGGCATGATGGATTATATTTTGAGAATGTATGGATGCTATAAGATGGTCAGAAACAAGAATTTTTTTTTTTTTTTTTTTTTTGAGACAGTGTTTAGGTCTTGTTGCCGAGGCTCACTGCAACCTCCACCTCCCAGGTTCAAGCGATTCTGTTACCTCAGCCTTCCCAGTACCTGGGATTACAGGTGCATGACACCGCACCTGGATAATTTCTGTATTTTTAGTAGAGACAGAAATGTCACCAAGTTGGCCAGGCTGGTCTCAAACTCCTTATCTCATGATCTGCTTGCCTCGGCCTCCCAAGTACTGGGATCACAGGCATGAACCATCTTGCCCGGCCTTTTTTTTTTTTTTTTAAAGTAGAGATGGGGTGTCGCTATGTTGGCCAGGCTGGTCTCAAACTCCTGACCTTAGATGATTCACTTGCCTCAGCCTTGCAAAGTGCTGGGATTACAGGAATGAGCCACTGCCTTGACAGGATTGAGGATTCCTTAGAAACAAGGATTCCTTAGAGCCAGGAAATTCAACATTATATATAATTAGGTGTATAATTTCACACAGGCATTTTTTGCAAGAGAATAATACAGAAGTATGATAATATTTATATTTATTGTGGCATGTCAAATGCTTTGAAGGCTAGCAGTAGTCAAAGCTAGAAACAACTTGTAATAGTTAGTTTTGAAATGTTTGTCAGAAAGGGGAAGAAATTACCTTCTGGAATATTAGGTACAGAGTTCATACTGGCAATTGAATGCTAAAAAGTAGATTCTGGTGCCAATTTCCTTAAACTCTGTGTTCATACTGTTCAACCTTAAAAGTTGTGGCTTCCTCATTTTCTCTTTGAATAAGATAGTTGTCCTTTTTTGCATATGCATTAGAATCCATGCTGATATATTTGGTTGGAAAATGGGAAAGGAGCTTTTAGTGTTCTGAGATCACTGTGTGATGTTTAGAACCAAAGTGTTACTATTATGTGGGAGAAAATGGTTCATATTCTACCTCTTTGTTAAGTCAATTTTCTCTAGTACAATAGGAAACAACCTCTTTCCCTATCATGAGGGGTTTTGTGTTCATTCCCACTTGCTTAGTTGAGAAATTAAATTATGGAAATGGGTATTATATATCAAATATTGTTATTAGATATATATCTGCTCCAACCTATCATATTAGATATCTGCTCCAACCTAAATAACTTTTATTCCTTCTGCCAGTACCTTCAGTAGCCCATACACCAAGGTCAGCTCCTTTGTGGGTTTTTTTTTTTTTTGAGATGGAGTCTTGCTCTATTGCCCAGGCTGTAGTGCAGTGGTGCGATCTTGGCTCATGGCAAACTGTCTCCCAGGTTCAAGCAATTCTCGGCCTCCAAGTAGCTAGGATTACAGGCGCCTGCCACCATAACCAACTAAGCTCCTTTGTGATTGTTGGTGGAGAATGGGATCTAAAAAATGTTCCTGTGGCCAGGCACAGTGGCTCATGCCTGAAATCCCAGCACTTTGGGAGGCCAAGGCAGGCGGATCACAAGGTCAGGAATTCAAGACCAGCCTGACCAACATGATGAAACCTCGTCACCATTAAAAAAAAAAAAAAAAAAAGTTCCTGCGTTCCTTCTAGCTAGTCTGTGCTACTGTGCCCCTAGATAATGGGATCTAGTTTTTCACTTCAGTAATGGTTTGGGAACATGGCAAAGTGGCCCTGTCCAAGGGAGAAGTATTATTCAGTATGTATTTCTAGTTTACCACACATGCTTGTGTATTTTTATGTATTTTGTAGTAAGACTGAGAGTTTGACTTCATGTAGGTTTTAGATCTCTGAATACTACTATGTACTTTAGCTCTTTGAACTCTGGACTTCCTGCCACACGCAGTTTTTCTCCTTACTGGTTTTCTGTGTCTGTCTTCTGTAATGTCATTTTGGTGGATTCTTTTAACAACATATAGGGCAGGTAGGGCACTCTGGCTCACGCCTGTAATCCCAGCACTTTGGGAGGCCGAGGCGGGTGAATCATGAGGTCAGGAAGTAGAGACCATCCTGGCCAACATGGTGAAACCCCATCTCTACTAAAATACAAAAAATCAGGCATGGTGGTGTGTGCCTCTAGTTCCAGCTGTTCAGGAGGCTGAGGCAGGGTAATTACTTGAACCCTGGAGGTGGAGATTGCAGTGAGCCGAGATTGCGCCAGTGCACTTCAGCCTGGTGACAGAGCAAGATTCCATCTCAAAAACAAAACAAAACAAAAACAAAAAAAGAAAATATAGG